GATATACGAGGTTTGACCAGAATCTCGGAATAAAATCCTGGACGACTGAATTGTAAGTCGTCCCAAGGACGACTGAAATTTCAGTCGTCTAGAAAGTTAAAGTTTTTTTTCACAATTGCAAAACTAACCTATTGTAAGTCGTGCGTTTCAATAAAAAATTGATATTTCAGTTTTTTCGCAGACGACTGAAATTTCAGTCATCCTAAAAAGTCAAAATTCTGAAATTTTTTAGTCAAATGCAAAACTAACATACGACGACTGAAATATCAGTCGTCTAGATTCTTAAGATATTTTTTTGTAGCCAAAATAAAGCAGACGACTGAAATTTCAGTCGTCTCTGGAAACAAATTGCAAAGTCAATTGCAAATATAACTTCTGCGTTGACTGGANCTTCAATTGGTGAGAGCACTTTCTTTGACTATATGAACCCTAGAAAATGTAGAATCAAGCACTCAGGAGCTCAAACAAAGGTAATCCACCTTGAATCTTTAATTTCTTTGACTATATGAACCCTAAAAAATGTAGAATCAAAATCTTGGGTTTTTTTTAGCTCATTGTGGAGAGAAAGTGAGAGATATGTGTTGTAATGGGTTGTTTAGTTCATGAGAATAGAGAAAGAAGAAGGGTAAATGGAATTTGGAGGAATTAAGAGCTTCAAAATTGGTTGTTCATGGTTGTTGGAGTATTGATGACAATGGCAATCTTGTAATTACTTGAAGATGATGAGGGTGAGAGAGTAAATATGTTATTTTCGAAAAAAAAAGAAAAATTGATGGCATTTTCGTGAATTATATGAACTTGTGGGGTGAATTGGGCAAAATAAAATTCCAAAAAAATAGGAGGTTAGTTTTGTGGTTGACTTCAAGTTTCAGGTCAATTCTGCAAAAAGAAATATCTCCAATCTTAAACAGTATCCTGAGATATTGAGGCTCTAATTAACATTATAACCTTCTTTTTGTCAATTCATAATTTATTTAGCTCAATAAGTTTGGTTAAATTAATATGATTTTGTTTGAAAAATAAAACTAGTTGACTGTCGAATCAAACTGATAACCAATTTTTAATATATCAAACTGAATTGAATTCATAAACGAGTATGAATAATAAAAAGAAATCCATATGTTTCAGGTCAAAATCCCAACTCTGGATTATTAATTTGGACTTTGGACTTTGGACTTTTAGTATTGAAGTACCTTTAATGTCTTGGAAATTTTCAACAACTAACCGAGTCAACCTGAACTATGTCAAATGAATATAGTAAACCGGACCGAGTCGATCGTAAATCAAAAACCAAATTTAAACCTAGTCAAAAGAAACCCTTTAGCTAGGAGTAGGAGTTATAAAATAAACAAATAAAAACGATAAGCTGTTATTCCGTTATTGGCTCTATGCTATCATCAAAAGTTGGCTAAAACACCATCGTTCATAAGATAACAGTTGCGACTTTTATACCAAGACACATGGCATGATGGTATGGACTTAATTTGGACCCTGAAACTTTATAGTGGAGTATCCAAATCTAAACGTTGTAACAAACCAACATAGAAATAAAAGCATCACAAACATATACATGGTCTGGTTGCTGCTTCAGAATCCTTTAGTTCCAATCAGGTTTAACGGCGATCTGTCTTAAGAACGGATGGGTAACGGAGTGCGACGTGGAGACCTCGGAGGTGCATCTCTTAACTGCTGTCCGTTACAGTCGTAATAAATAACTCCGGAGAAATCCAACGGCTCACATTTACCGCCCATTAAAATCTCTCTCTGCCAAAGGCCATGCTCTTCCTCCTCCTCCATCGCCGCCGCCGCTCTCTTCTTCTCCGGCTTATATCCTCCGCTGTAACATGTGTTAGTCAAATTCATAAGAAACTCTTTCGGCCGTGGAGATCTCATCGTATTCCATCGGCCACGGGAAGTTTCGTTGTGAGTTCGCTTCTTCGGCTTGAGCTTCTTGGAGAGGCGGTTTGCATGTCTGGCGCAGAGAACCATTAGAGACACGAGAAAGCTCACGCTTAGACGCTTGTGGGAAGAAGAGGTGTTATGTTCCGGAGTAGACCGATCCATCTCTTCGCCGGGAAAGGAGATCAGAACTTTTTTGTTTTGGTAATAACGGGTCAAAGTCAAGAACTCGGTTTTGAGGAGAATTAATCTCTAAGTGTCTAAATTGAATGTGGAATGTATAATAAATACAGACGTGTTGATGAGATTTAAGAAAAAAGGGTGTAGGTTACCGGTGGAACCGGTCTCCACTGCGTTGATTTTGTGTTATTGTTTTTTATGTTGTCATAGTGGAGAATTAGTTTTTGCAAATCTGAACCAATTGTTTTCATTTAATTATAATTATAAGTGTTTGAATGTTCAAATTAAGCATTAACGATCTTTGCATAAAAGTATAAGAATGACTGATAGAAATTATGAATGCTTTTCAATTAGTATAAAGCAGAAGGAGAGATCAAGTAGTGAATGATACGTTGACTGGACCAATAGCATTTGATCTTGGAAACGTGTAAAAGGTGAAGTCTTATAATGAAACAAAAATACGAAATTCTACGAAGTTTGAGATTTTGAGCCTTTTATTCTTATAGTCTGTAGTCTGTTGTTCCTTATCTATACTATTAAAAGTGAAGACACCCTTGAAAAGTCGACACATAGATATTGTGTGCACCCTCCTCATTAATGGTATTTTGGTAATTTGTTTTTTGGTCTTACATCTATATATATATATCAATTGTTACAAATCATATCACATATTAAATATATCCGATTTATTCTCTCTCGTCCCATTAATTACTTTAACCATATTCCATATTATATTTCATACATTTATATTGTCTTATAAACTTTATATTGCGGTTTTAATCTATAGATTGACTACATAAATATTTATTATAATATAAATTAATTATATGGTGTTCAGATGCTCTCATACTTATAAATGTTTACATATTTATAAAATAAATTGTAATAAATTATAATTTTAAATCATAATATATAATTCAATATACTGTATAATAAATCAACAAAAAATAATATTGTTTTTATCAAATAAAAATATACTAAATTATATTTTAATATAGTAATTTAGATATTATATTAAATATAATTTTTTATTCTTTTAATATATATTTTAATATTTTGCATTAATAAATTGAAGTATGTCGTAAACTCTATGAATATATGTTGTCATGAATATGTAATTCTTTTAATTTATAGTTTATAAAATAATTTTAATTAAGTTATTTTATATATATTGTTTATTGTAGTAATTTAATTATGAATATGAATAATGTATTTATAAATATTATAGTAATTGTATTTCTTATTTAATAAATACAAATGAATTAAAATTAATTGTATTAATATTTAAAAGTACATTCTATTATTTAAAATAAATATTAAAACAATAAATATTTATATTTTACTGAAAAATATATTAAAATATATTGTCAAAATGCAATATTATAAAAGATCTTGGTAATATCTTTGATATCTGATTTTGAAATTATCTTGCATATAACAAATTTAGTTATTATTCAATAACAATCTTAATATATTATTTAAATATTTTCAAATATTTTCGTATTAACTTTTCTTTATATGTCGATATATCATCATTCTCATGGTGACATTTAATGGATGAGATATGTTTTGTTAAGAAAATATTGCAAAAATTATTTTCTATAATTATCTTCGTACTAAAATAAATGAATTGCTTCATCTACAAGTTTATAAATTAACCACAATCAATATCGTGGTTAGTTATTCTTTGTTTGGATTCCATAAATTTTGGTAACTTACCGTAGTTGTATTACCATTAACTGTTAAACTTTAAACTTCTTAACTAATTCAAAATATCTTCAAGAAATATTCTTTATTCCTCGAAAGAGATATTTTTTAAAATCGTATAAATATTCTTTCCTACATTTCCGTAACCTAAATGTATATTTTCCCTACCTATTATAAATATAGCCTCTTTTAACCACTATATTCATCATTCATTGAAAAACTTAAAACAAAAATGGCGAATAATTTGCAGTTGTCGTGATATAAAACCGAGGAAGACTGCATGTCGCATCGAAGTCAAAATCTTTCATACATGGAGACATTTCATGTAAGACATATGGGAGACCATGGAACTAATCCTTTGTGATGCAAATGTAAATTTATTGTTTTGTATAGATTTATGATTTAGATATCTTCATTTTGTAAAAGTGTAACCTAAATGATAATGTTTTCTAAGCGCGGATCAAAACCTAAATGATAATATTCTTCCTTATATTTATGGAACAATTCTTCTATTTTTAAAACTATATTACTTTGAATCATAAATGTTAATAATTTTCTTACTGGTCAGCTTTCTCCCATTTTTATAAATTATCTTCATTGTTGTTGTATCTATCTAACACGGGTATATTTTTATCTAGATGTTATTGGACAAGTTCAAGATTTGGGTGATCTGGAAACCATAGGGTGTAGTGGTGGGAAACAAAAGAATAAGTTGGAGTTTAGTCTCGTGGAAACCATAAAATTTGTTTTTTTTATGGTTAATAGTATAAAGTTAGTCTCCCTACCTATTATAAATTTCTCAAGCGCGGGTCAAAACAAAACTGCCGAAACATAAATAAACTAAATAATTCGATTAACATATTTATTAGATTTAACTACAAATTTGTAATACAATTTTCGGTATTTTTAATAGTATTGATTTTTCAAGTTTATTATAGGTCATGAACCCATCCAATTTTGGTTTAAATCTAATCTGTGTTTTAATTCTTCAAACTCTCATAACACTTAATTTTTTGATTCTCTGTTCAACCACAAACTGACTCGGTTATGCAAACTAAATGAAAAGACCCTACTAAAACGTTAAATATACATCAAATTTCGCATATAAAACAATCATATAATAGATATCGGATCATTTTATACATTTTGTTACAATCGAAACAAAATCCGCGCTTCTCAAGCGTGGGTCAAAATCTAGTATCGATTAATATATCTGCATATTTCTGGATAACCTATGTTGCCAATCTTAACAGATTTCACCCAAAAAAAACCTATGTTGCCAAATTGGATAAAAAGTGGTGAATCCATAAATATTTTGTGGGTGTGGGTGTGCAAGTTAAACATCTAGTATAACTGTTATAGTAAAAACTACAATTGTTAATATTTGTAGGATAAGTAGTTAAAACACCAGATTCATATTTAAACACACAATATCAAATAATTTGAAAGAAAGATATGTATAATTTTTACTTTGAAGTGGGTACAAATTTAGAAAACAATAGGGAAATGATTTTTGAATATTGACTATTTCAATAATTAGTAAAACAAATATAACTGGTGTAGAAATACAAAATTTTATATAATTATCTTGGCTACATATAATATTGTTAAATAAAACTAATTTTACTAATAAAAATGTAATATTTCGTAGTTCGTTACAAATTTTAAATAACATTAAATTTTATCTATAATAGTAAAAGTATCATTTATTTTGGGACAAATATTTTTTCAACACCACTTATATTAATATGGAGAGTGTTGGACCCAGTTTCAGCACCTAATTAAGTAGGTACAAGCCTATATAGGATCACTACGAGCTCGACATCGATCGGATCTTACGAGGTCGAAATGGAATCCCAAAGATTGCGGAATATAAGAAGAGAATGCTATAAAAAGAAGCTAGAATGAAGTATAACACACACGGAAAAAACCGTAGAGCTTATTACTAATCACATCGACCTCACTCCATAGATTCCTAGTTTGCTTATTTCTTCTACTTTTCATTATTGTTTTCAATCTTGTTCATTACCTTGTAACGAATTCTATATTCAATAAAAGTCCATTTTTGTCAACCGAATTCCGATTGTATCGTTATGTTTAAGAGCATCGTTGCCCACATCCTTTGTCTTCCCCTGATTAAACTCTCAAAACTACAAAATACTTAGTGTGGCTTTTAGGTACTACATTTTGGCGCCGACTGTGGGGAAGATAAACGAAAATACCCTTACTAAGAATCCGATCTAGGATTTTTAAGCACGATGATGGATCCCAATGCAACCAACCTCGAAAATTCCCGATCCAGATCGACCAACGTCGATCCACCGGAACTTCTTGAGGGACCGATCCGGCTTCCTTCGATCAAACAAACATCAACGAAGCCGCCGACGCTACCCAAAATCAACAAGTTCCATTAACTGGAATTTTGATCACCGATAGGAGTATGGTCTCGGATCAAAACCTTCCATGATTGAATCGGATCTCGAGTGTGGAACCGTACAACAGACAGAACAACACCCGAAGATCCGACCCGAACAGCGAGACGAAGATCCCCAACTCACTTGGCCCGAACTCGAGACGAACTAGGGGAACTCAGATGAATGATTTTGACGCTCATTGATAAATCTCGTGACCAAGAGATCGGTCAGCGAACCATCACCAGCCGGTTGGAACAAACCGAGAGGGATCTCACTGAATACCAAGCAAATCCCAAAGAAAGTGTCCGACAACACTCGGATCCATCTCTGCAAACGCCGCTCCCTTGAAACCGCGGAGCGTTCGCCTCTCCCGAACTGACCAGCACCCGATCGGGGAGCTACGCGGGAGATAATTCGCAACAGAGCCCACCGGAAGGGATGACCTAGCGAAGTCTTAATTACAACGGTCAAGGTGAGGTCGAAAACGAAATACATGGAATTAGAACTACCCAACCTGTCCGGGGGGGGGGAGGAAACCACCAGCCAACACTGACCAAAAAAATGGTACTCCCCGACGCACCACCAGAAAAAGGGAAAAAGAATCGACTTCATTTATGGAGGATCAAAATTCTGCAATTCGGTCAACTCCATCAAAGCGCACCCGCGAAGAGCGGAAATCAGCATCGGCATACGGGAACCTTTGTCAGGGCCCGATCACGAAATCACCTTCGACGAAAACGAAACCGCCGATCTCGATAAACAATATGACAGTGCACTTGTTATACGACTCGATGTCAGAGGATGCGAATTATCCAGGATCATGATAGATACAGGAAGCTCCACGAACGTGCTCTTCTACGATGCACATAAAAGAATGGAATTCACCAAAACACTCCTCAAACAAGAAAAGACCCCGCTAATCAGATTCGCAGAAGAGACTACCTATTCTCTCGG